GGTTACAAAGTGTGTGCCTGTAAAGGCCTTTGCCCTTCTTGAATCTAAGCTTGCATTTGAATATTGAGTAGAAGCCCATAAATGGATTCAATAAATGGATGAGCATTTGCCTGCACAAATTAGGGTGTACACAAATACTAGTCAATAGACTGGTTATGCCCATATTTGAAAATCTATGTCACACCTATCTTGTGAAGTGTAAAGTTTAGCATGATGGTGACAACATCATCCAAACAACCTGTTTGACGGTAGAGACCCTCTGTGTGTATGTTGCTATTTAATCAATTCAAATTATAGTAAAATGAGCAAAATTCCACATAAAACATCTACAGTTTGAACCCCTCCTCTCATTTACTTGCCGTAAATACATTTCTAAATCACCACCTGGGTGGAATATGCACAGCCATCACACACTGGAGTATAGAGTTTTAGTCTGGAAAGAAACTTGTGTGCATAATCAAGTACAAAGTTTAATCCTAAATGTTAAGTAGGGTATCCCCTTTGATAGTAAGAAGATGTGATTGGTAGAAAATCCATATTGATTTTTATGACACATGATTCAAATCACATGCCTACTGATGTCAGCGGTTCCCAATCAGGATTAATTCTCTCTCTAAATCACTGAAATCCCAATTGCAGGCAATAAGATTAGATCAGATCAAAATATCCTTTGAAGTCAATGAGATGTGATCAGTCTCTATTTATTACTGAAGCCAATGGGGGATATGATAAGAGGTGAAGTCAATGGGGCAGTATTCTACAAATTCTCCCCCAATAAAACTTTTTTGTGTCTTAATATCCAAAATATATCTGAATCTATGTCCCAGCATTCAAGTTCCTGTCTTCAGTAATCATTAGATCATCTCTAATGATTCCTTTGTTCAAAAAAGGTAAACTCCTGTTACTTTTCAGAAGCAGATTACACAAAAGAAACTTTACGGTATATATTACTCTCACAAAGCAGTTTGCTCCATCTTGCAATCACTTAAAAATGTTATCTCATCTTCCTTCCTGCATGAATGTCTGAGACAATCAATGAAGTTCCTGTGTAGAGAATAAATTGAGCTGAATGGCTCCTCTTAAACTGTACAATCAAAAAGAGAGGGGGGTTTTACTGATGATTTTGATATTCGGTTTAGCTTTCTTCACCAAGCTGTCAGCCTGGTGAAAGTGAGGTCAGTATGACCACACTCTTCTTAAAGGATCCTCTTCTGAACCATCCACTTGAGTATCATCTCCTAACACATTCTACACTGGAATCAAGAGGTATGTAATCTGCCCAGAAACCTGGAGCCTGAACATCCATTGCCCTGCACCTTGTGTAGTCATTGTTCCAGTGTAGAGCGGGTGTAAAATGCTACCATATCACCATGATAATGTTTAGCATCTATTTTGCATGGGTATAAATGACTTACACACTATGCAAGACTTCAAAAAATTGGGCCCCTGTTCTTTTGACATCTAAAATGCACATGGGCTCGTGTGTGTCTGTTTGTGTAAGTGTGTGTAACATTTTTCTATATAATAAGTGTAACACACAAAGAAATGGAAGCAATTTAACATACAATTCTTTAGTCACTGATACAGCTACCTGAAACTTTTGACTCAATCATTTGCAAAACATAAGTGACAGGAAAAGGCAGTAATCAAACGGCACCAAAGATGCTGGAGACCAAGGGATCTTGGTCTCACTTCATCCCTATGGTCCCCACTAGTTCTAGCTTGGCATCTCTTGAAAGAAATCACAGAAGTATATTCTTGCTCCATAGATTGTAAATTTCGGGGGGCAGAGACTGTCTTTTTGTTATGTGTTTGTAGAGTGAGCAGCACAGTGGAGCTGAGGCTTCTAGGCACTTGCTGGCTATCACTTCAACCAATCATGAAGAATCCATTTGTCTGTGTTGCCCCCAGGACTCTCAGACACTTATTAATGTGAGAGTATTGTTTTCAAGACCAGACAGGAGGTTCAGCCAATAGACAGAGCAGACAGGGAACTTTGTGGCAGATTTTGCTCTTGTATGCTTGTAGTAATTCCATTGGCTCCAATGTCATTGATTATGTCTCTGTGTCTTGGATTTGAGAGGATTTGTTGGTGTCTTTGATTCAACTATCCATAGACAAATCCTAGCTTTGACCCCAAGATCCCCCTTTAAAAAAGCTATTCCTGATATGAAGTGTTATAATGTAAGAGATTAAGGATCTCAAAATAGGGGGTTTATATCTGGGTAATATACATTGTGTTGCTCTATAATAGCTCTAGATCCTTGGTGTAGTATATTCTTTTTGTGCCAGTATTATTCTAGCAAGGCTCGCACTGGTTTATTCAGTTGTATCATTGATTTTCTGTGAGAAGGCCTAGATAATATATTGTAATGCATTGTGTAACTCAGCCTAGCAAATTTGTCCTGAAGTTTGCCAGAGAAAAGTCTTCTTGTCCATCCTTTATAATGATGATTGATGACATTGGGAAAAAACAGGTCATAATTTACATATCCAATAAAAACAATAAATATTCACCCCAGGTGAACAGAATTCTGCAAAGGTGAAGTTTAGAAATGAGACTCTTCATTATGGTCTGCATTATAAAGTGCTTTTCAATTGTCTTCTGCAGAGAAATGCGAAACACAATCTGATCGCTTTAGGATTTTATCAATTACAATATAAAAATGTCTAAAAAGTGAAAATGTGAATTTAAGCATATTTTCATTTACTCTGAACTACAATTATATTCATGGATTGAAGATAGTTGAATTTCCATCTAACATAAGAATGAATTAAAGTTGATATTACCTCCAGTTTTATAAGGGCTTGTCCACATAGTGCATTAGTCCACATTAGAGGGATGTGAATTCTGGTGCGCACTAGTCTGTTGCACACTGACTGGCCCGTGTGGACCCTGCTGGAATGCATTAAAAGTTCCCTGGTGCATGTTAGCATAGTCCCACTTCGAACAACACTACATGCACTAGGGACCTTTTAGTGCATGCCAGCAGGGTCCACACAGGCCTGTTAGTGTGCAACATGCTAGCGCACACTAGAATTTACACACCTCTGTGTGGACTAACACACCGTGTAGACAAGCCCTAAGTATCAAAGTAGCAAAACATTACTATTTAGAGAATACGTTTTGACAAGTCTAGGTTTACATTTATATCTTACAGATTTGCTGTGTTGTTTTTTAAAAAAAAAGTTATCTAGAAGCTTTTAAAAATTTGTTAAAGAATAGTTTCTCCCCACACTTACGGGGTTGCCTAGAAATCATTTGCTTCTTGCACTAATCTTTTGTTTTATTCCTTTCCTGTCCTGGATTTTGTTTAACACTCAGTGATGTTCATTTATAGTTTTGTTTTTTTCCCTAGAAATTTACTCTAGAGTGAAGTTTAATTAAATGATTAATTGAATTACATAGCCACCATGGAAATGCTGGCATTCTGAAGCCAAATACTGGAAAGAAAATGATCCACATTCTCTGCTTTGCCGGGCTTTCACTCAGCAAGCAGAAAGAGAGGAGATTGTCAGGGAACCTGTTATGGCTTACTGATTCTCTTACTATGCTGAGCCCCCTGAAGGCTGCTCTAAATTTAAGCCATGCTCACTACAGAACTGGTGAGCATTGCTATAGCACATAATGCTCTGATCACACCATCCCTTCCCCAATATGTTCCCTATGTCCAGGGGCAGCTCCAGGCACCAGCGCACCAAGCGCGTGCCTGGGGCAGCAAGCCATGGGGGTGGCCTGCTGGTCGCTGTGAGGGTGGCAGTCAGGTGGCCTTTGGTGGCATGCCTGCGGGAGGTCTGCCGGCAGCAATTCGGCGGTGGGCACACCGAAGGCGCGGAACTGGCGGACCTCCCGCAGGCATGCCGCTGAATCCGTGTTACTAGTGGACCTCCTGCAGGCATGCCGCCGAATCCCCGTTACCAGCGGATCTCCCGCAGGCATGCTGCCGAAGGCTGCCTGACTGCCATGCTTGGGGCGGCAAAATACATACAGCCGCCCCTGCCTATGCCAGTGCTGATTGGGGTGGGGTCCAGAGGCCTGTTCTGCATCAGTTGATAGCTCTCATACATCAGGAGCATTCTCATTTAGCCAGCTCCAGCTGCTTTCTGTCTGCTCTGTGGCACTGAGGCAGCACAAAGGGGGTGGGATGCAAAGGAGAACGTAGCCCTGTGGGTTGGAAGTATTCAGAAGAACTGGTTAAAATTTTCTGTGTGAGGCACAGATATTAGCCCTGAAATGTTATGGAATTCTAAGGCCTCTGCATAGGTCTGAGGGAGAGTTTGAGAAATCCACTTGGCAAGCCAGCTGATGGATTCTCTCTTATCACTGAGCTTCTATGGCCTTATAATAATTGACCAGAGGTCTGTTAAGTTAAATCTTGTCTCATGATATTAGGTGGCAGTAGCTCTTCAATGGTATGTTCTTCCATCCCAGCCATGGTATGGTGTGGCATGTTTTAGATAATTGAAATGAGAGAAGGTGAATTGCTCATTTATATTATGTTATTTCTGGATTAGAGCCTGCAAAGTGTTGAGTAGCCTCAATTCCTCTGATGTTTAGCTTGCAGCGCTCGGATCCTTTTATTCTCATTTTCTGGAATCCTAAGGGCTCTAAAAGCATTTGGAAAGCTGAGGTTACAATGCCTGATGAGAAATATTATCCTTTTCATTAGGATGGGACTGCATGGTGACTGTTCCTGAAAAAACTACAGTTCTGATGTGTTTTTTTGCTCCCTACACAACAATAGCAATACAAACAAAACACATGGGCACAGTTGGGTCCCAAATAAACATTTGACAAAATCTACCTAAACACCCAAGATCTACCTACCTACATACTGCTGCTCTGAGTGGTTTCTAGAAGCTCTTTAAAACACAGAGAGCACCACTAGCGGGCTCACAAACTATTTAAAGAGATATTACCTGACTCCTGTGCACTCCAAGTTTCCATGATACTCCACTCAGAATATGGGAGTAATTTTGATTATGTTTTTTACTTTCAGTCTCTTCTCTTACATAGTGTCAAGATGGAGAGAGCATTTTGCTGATCTGGGTTATTGTCTAAGGGGCCTCACTTAGAAGAAAGTGTGAAGATGAGAGAAGAAGAAGGGAACAAAGGAATGGTGATGCTGGCATTGGTGGGTAAGAGCAAAGAAAACGTGGAGGGACACACTAACAAGAAAGGTCTGAGATATAAGTATGGTTTTGGACTTTTGTTTTTAGTCTATAAAACACCTCCAATAAAAAAAATAAAATGAAACTGCTGTTTGTCCAATAAGCACCAGAAATGGTTACTTTTATCTAAGAGCTTATCTATATGGAGAAGTAATGTGGGCTACAGAGATGTGATTTCTAAAGTGCGCAAACGTGTTGCACATTAATTGGGCCACGTAGACCCTGCTGGTGTGCACTAAAGATTCTCTAGTGCGCTTTAAGACTGTGCTCTTTGAAACATTCAAATACACTGGGGAACATTATGAAGAGTTGACTCATTACATTATATATCACTGCAATGAGAATGTGAATGTGATGGGGGTGTTCACCCTACACTAGCCTGGAACGGGGTTAATTTGGCCCCGAGGGGTTAAGTAACCTGATAGGCCAGACCTGAGGGAGAGTTAGGCTTGATGAGCAAACACTAATTAAGGATGGAGCCCACCTGAGTGGGAGCAAGTCGGGCTAGTATAAAGCCAGGACATTTGCAAAGAAAGGGGCTGTAGGGTAGAAGCCTGCAGTCACTCTCTGGGCTTAGAGAAGGAAAGGAGGAGGAATAGTAGAAATCCTGGGATCCTGACCCTGAATGAAGGTTTTACCTAGAAGGGCGGCGGAGCAGGAAAAGGCTCAGGGAAACAGCAGCAAGATTTGGCCTGGTGCAGACCTTGGCCACTGATTCGAAGGTCCCTGTCCTGGAACCGGAAGCAGTGGGTGTGCTCAGGTTCCCTTATCAGCCACTGGGGAAGTGACATGGCCTTGGATTGGAGGACTGCTGGAAACAGTACCCGATCCGCCAGTCCAGTGAGGCTTTGATACTCTGGAAAGGGGAAGACCACATAGTGACCTGTCTGGAAGACCAAGGCATGAAAAGGCAACACTCCAAGCCATGAAGAGGGAGCATCCTGACTCACAAAGATGAAGTCCTGCAACTCCCGGAGTGTGGGAGGGGCCATAGCGTGACCGAGAGACAAAAGAGGCTGTCAGACTGGGCGGAGCTGTTCCACAGATGCAGCCTCAAGGAGGCATCCCAGCAGTGAGTAGAGAACCCTGTGACAGTGTCTGATATACATTACTGCTTACAGTACATGCTAAGAGAGAGTCCCCAAACCCCCTGATTTTGGGGCATCTTACATAAAACTAAAAATAACCCACCCCCAAAATGAAATTAATAAACCCAGAAGCCCTCAATGTAAACCAAGGTGTACCATAGTTGGGTTCAGCAGGAGAGGACGGGAAGTTTTTAATGAATGTGATAGGCAAAGTGGAGGGATTTGACAATGGACATGACATCTGCATGGTGGTGAGGAAGACAAGGTTAGCAGCAACAGTTTGGATGGGCTGGAGAGGGATGATACAGGAATCAGGGAGATCTAAGTAGAGGTGGTTGCAGAAATTGCTTTTGTTCATTCTGTCAGACATCAACTTTTCTTGGACAATCTCAGGTCCTTAAAAGAAAATCAAACTGGTAGAAGTGGATTTTTTGAGTGTTTGGATTAAATAGCCCCAGAGGCTGAAGTTCTTTATAATCACAGGATGGGCCATGGCTAGATATGATTCCACATTCCATGCCAACAATATGCCTCAATCCTGTCCTAGTGGGGATATGGTGAGAGAGTTGTTCATTTCCCCCCTTTGCAGACAGACTTTGGCCTCTTTATTCTGACTGGTTAACAAGAATTCCAACTAGTTCACATGTTCTTTTGTAATGTGGACACTTGTCTATTTAAAAGTTAGGCTGACCACATTGGCTCCTTTTATGCCATAAATTATTATGGCGTATTATTGTACACGACCCTGAAGTGTACTAGACATTTCTTAGAGCAGTGATACTCAGACTGGGGCTCGGGAGTTGCAAGTGGCTCTTTAATGTGTCTCCTGCGACTCTTTGCAGCACATAATATTAAAACACTGTGATTTAATTATTAACCAATCAGAATGCTTTTTACTATGTTATTAATTCCAAAATATTTCGTCAGTCATTTTGCTGTGAAAATAATGATATATATCTATATATATCTGACACTGTCTTCTGTCTCTTGCTCATGCTATGGCCCCTCTCACGCTCCAGGAGTTGAAGTACACATATATATGTATCAGATATATATAGCTATAGATAGATAGATATAGTAAATGAAACAATGAATTCACAGTACTGTAGCTCTTTTGGGTAATGTTGATTGCTAATTTGGCTCCTGAACCACTGAGGTCTGAGTGTCCCTGTCTTAGAGAGTTATACAGACAGAGTCCTAGTGAGTAGATCTGATGTGACAGCAGTGAAGAAGGTGCCGGGATGGTGAGAAAAGGAAAGATCGGAGGAACACAGAGAGAGTGAGAGAGAGAGAGAGAGAGAGAGAGAGAGAGAGAGAGGAGTGATGGTGTTAGGGACAGGTGAAAGGAAGAGAAAAGGGTGCAGGAAATTATCATACGGATGAAATTAAGAGGCAGGTAAATCCAATTATCAGCATGAAAACAGGTAGAAACATTAAAGGAAGTGGAAATAAAGTCAGTTAGTGGTTGGAGTCCAGACTTCTGGGGTGTCAGCTGGTGAATGGTGGCTAATTTGATATAAGCTAATTGCATCGTTTGCCTATTTGATTTGAGATCCAAATCCTGGTCCTTCCAGGCTAATCACTCCAAATAAGTGAATAGCTGGAACAGTTGTGAGATCTGATGCATTCATTGTTTTGCTTTAAACAGCTCTATGTTCACGAGGTAAAACGTAAAAAGGAATGTCCCTTAGATAAGGTAAAATGTAGCTGTGATATGAAAGCCTTGGATATCAGAACAAGATGAATGGACTAGACAGTGCGCAGTGGAGGGGAGGGGGTGCGTGTGTGTGTACAAGGGTAATGAGGAGAGGGTGTAAGGAAATTTCCTTCCCCTTTGTGCCATAAGCAGAGGGCAGACACAATCCTGCTCCAGGGAGCATAAGGACAGCACCAGTTTCCTATCAACAGCTGTATGAGTTTCCATGAAGTGGACCAAGAGGGCCAAGGGTTATCCCACCTCCTCTACATTGGCCAGTGGAGCAAAGCTAAGGTAGGAAGGGGAGACATATATGTGCATCCTGTAATAAGCTATAGATGTGGCCCAAGCTTCCCAGGTGCTCCTGGAAACCTTGAGGCACAATGCCTTCTGGAGGTCCCATCAGGGCAGTGCACTGCTACTGCTGCCTCCACACCACAGCCAGTGCCTGTAGTCATAGTGGAGGCCATTAAGTGGCACAGACATAGACTATAACTGTTAGGTCCTTTAAAGGCCGCCATTACCCTGCACCTTAGACAATCACATAGGTCCTGACTCAGCAAGTTACTTAAGCAAGTGCAGAAATACTCCCCATTGAAGTGATTAGAGGCACAGATGAAGTACTCTGCTGAACTGAGGCCTTATACCAATGCTTAGTGAGAATAAGGTGGGTGTTGAACACCTCCGTTCAGATTTGGTAGTTTTTTATCCACATTTGGCACACACAAGGTTCAGGGAAATGGAGAGTCAGGCCCCAAATGTATCACTTGATGCTTATTCTAATGGAGTCGTTCCCAGTTACACCCCTACTGAAATTTAGCCTAAACTCACGCTCGTGGAATGAGATAAATAACATTTGGGGACAAAAGGTGCTGGATGAAAAGTATCCTAAGCAAGAAGGAAAGAGTTTGTTGTTTTAGATCCTCAGAATAGTTAGCACTGGAAACTTCCAGCAGACTCTGCAGTGGTTGCTGCCTCAAACACTCTTCCACTTCTGTATGTTATACAGCTGTAACATTGAACACATGAGGCAGGTGGCTGCCCTGAGGCATTCTCTGTAAAAACGTCCATATCACAACAGAGCTGAACATACCACTATCACGCCATATCTCTTTTCTGCTTCTTCACACTGTTCAGACAACCAGGCAATGTCATGGAAATGTTATAATAGACACATCCAGAATATATGGGTGAGCCAGCTGTCCCCAGTGATATATTTAAACCATTCTCTCTATTATATGTTGAGCAGGTTAAATATAATTAACACTGGTCAGCGGGTCCTTTTGCTTTACATATTTTATGAATGTATTGCCTCAATTATCAGGGAGGGAAAGGAAAGTGGGTTTTTTTAATAGCTGCTGATATAAGCTAGTCTAAGTCATTTACATCTGAACATATATTATTCCCCCTAAGAAGAATGAATGTTTTCTCTCTCTCCCTGAATCCCATAATTGTTTTATTGCAACATTCTAGAATGTAAATAATCACCCCTCCCCTTTCATAAATTACATGCAACCTGTCTAGCTCTGAAAATGAACATTTCAATATCTTCAGACACACAATGACTTCATATCAATATTTAAAATCATTTTATGCATGTATTCCAGGTTGTCCAACTTCATTAAGGGCATTCATCAGCCCTCCAGCTACAGTGTATTCCCATTGGAGTTGTAGGCCTCAGGCCCTACCAAACAGAAATTTAAACTAACTTGCCTTTTTAATTCACATTATTCTCAAATATTCTCTTTTTTAACCCCCTGCCATGACTAAGGCATTTAGACCTGGCTATGATTTTGTGCATGTCAACATTTAACAGACAAAATCCTCATTATTATGTCAGAACATGTGTGCATGAGAATAATACAGTTTCTCCCCCTCCTTCCCTTCCTTCCTCCCTCATTTCCTCCTGCCTCCTTCCCTCTTTCTTTGGTACAGTAATAATCTTGTCATCTTTTGCTCTAAAATAAGTTAATAATTTGAGCTACTTTTTTAAATTTATACACACATTGCAAACAAATTACATTTCATTATTTTTGCATCTCTTCCTCTTCCCAAAACAAATCTCTTGATCTATTTTTTATATAGCTGAGGATGTGCAGCGGGAATGCATATCCTTTATGGCGGCATCAAATGCTGATGTATTGGTAGGACATTTCTTTTTTCTCACAAAAATAAACAACTTTCTTGTTATGTTCAACAGGATGATTACAGTTCTCTTCCCCGAGATGTTCAGAGTCTGAATGACCTTGAAAATTCAAGAGCGAAACTCTGATACCACAACTTCCTCTTTCCTCCACTGTTTGTGTATCAGCACACTTCTAGTTTGCTGCTGACCAGATACTATAGACCATGGCTGAATCCTCTGACTTACTCCTATGGAGTTCAGTGAAAGCAAAATGGATCCAGGCATCTATCATCTCCTACAAGGGAGTTTGGTAACATCAGGAGGTGGCCAGGTAAATGTGATGTGTGTATCTGGGGCACACAGTTGTTGGTGATTTTAATTTTAAAATCAGTGCAATGTAGATCAGTGTAATCAGGCACTATATCCAAGGACCTCTTTATCACATCATACAGATTTGTACACACCTGGCTAAAGGTCGAAGAGCTTGACAGGCCTGCACAGATGGGCCGCATGCCAATTGTGTACGAAGAGGGAAGGCAAAATGTGTGGGGGGGGGGAGGGGGAGTGTAGAAAAGAGAAAATATAAAATAAAACCCACACCTGCATAGCCAGTTTTCAGCTTATCTTTTTTGTAAGTAGTTTTCTTGTATAGTTTTTGTTCTATCTCATTCCTTCTCTTTCTCTGTCTCTCTTCCTCTCATTTGTCCTTCCCCCTTTTATTTTTCTTGTGGTCATTTTATTTCTCTCTGTTGCTCCTGTGTTCCTCTCCTTCTTTTGTTCTTGCTTCCCTCCTACATTGATCCTTTTTCTGTTCTCTTCCTCTATGTTAGCATCCCTTCTCATGCCCTAAATGCAAGAGTCTCCCTTCCCCATCCTGATTACACTTTTGCAAATTCACTTATCTCCGCAACAATAGTCTTTGATGAAATATGGTAGACTCTTCCTCCCCTGCCTGCCCTGCCATGTCTGATCAGGTGTACAACAGGTGTGGAGAGGGCTCCAAGTGCCCTCTCGTTGCATCCTTGTAAAGGGTCAGATACCATCTTATTCTATTCTTTTTTTAATGGGTTCTTACACCAGGTTCATCATCACAGTATCTGAGCACTTTTCAGTAGTGCATTAAGTAGTGTGACTAACATATGTCATGTTTGTTCTCTTATCCTCTTCCCGGCGGGGCTAGGTGCAGCAGACTGTCTTGTTTTGGATATCAGAGCTATATGTTTAAGTTAGAGAAGGCAAGGACAAAGAAATGTGCCTTGCATTTAGAAGACATCCAGACTGCAGTGGAGGCGTAACATCCAGCATGGGTAGATGTACACACGCTAGTTTTGACTGAGCTAGCATGTTGTTGTTTTTTAAAGTGTAGTCACAGTGATGTGGGTGGTGGGATGGGCTAGTTGCTGAGTATGGGGACGTATCAGATTGGGTTGTATTCGGAGTCGCTAGCCCATCTTCTACCTGCATTGTGGTGGCACACTGCTATTTTTTAGCACACTAGCCTGATCAAAGCAAGTGTGTGTATGTCTATGTGAGGTGGACACTACAGCTCCAGCTCCAGTCTAGAGTGCAAGGTGCTGAGGTTTGAGGGATGTACATTCCACAGTCATGGGCCACCCCTAAGAAAGCTCTCTCTCTATGTTGTAGAGAGGCCCATTGTGTCAGAGGAGCAAAGTTTTCAGCTATGGTTTTCATCCTGGAGTTTTAGGTGATCTTTCTGAGAGGTGCTGCCATTGGTGCTAGAAGCTCCAGGGTAGAGTCATGGCTCTGTTTCCTATTCTGCACTCACCAACTGACCCAGGGCCAAAAGGATTTACCCTTTCTAAGCTGCTCCTCCAGCATGTTCTGTGTGCGGGTGCCAGTGTAACGCCAACAGACCTTGGCCATCGGTGGGCATCAGTATGAGTTACACCAGCTGGCATTCTCGACTTGAGTGAGTTGAAATTGCTTATGGGAGTCACTTTGCAGTGTGGTCCCTCCTCGTCAGAGTCTAATGTGAGCTGTCCTTGGAGCCAGAACCTGTTCTGAGGAGGTACTGTGAGGAATTATCCCTGAGGATATGTCTACTCTGCAGTTAGAGACCTGTGGTTGGCCCGGCCCAGGAGACTTGGGCTCACAGGGCTTGGGCTAAGGGGCTTTTTGTTTGTGGTGTAGATGCTCGGGCAGGGGTGCTGGAACAATTTTTATAGTGGAGGTGCTGAGAGCCATTGAACCAAACTATAAACCCTGTATATGATGGAAACCACTTCATGCCAGGGGGTGCAGCCCAAGCTTTGGGACCCTCCACCTTTCAGGATCCTACAGCCTGGGCCTCAGCCCAAGCATCTACACTGCAATTAAACAGCCCCTTGGCCCAAGCTCCGTGGATGTCTAATTGCAGTGTAGACTTACTCTGAGCTTCCACTGCCTGCCAGCAGCTACTAACTGCATGTGGAGAATAAGAAGATGGAAGGGAGAAGATTGTCAGAACTTTGAGGCAGGGAATGTCCCTAACTTGATGTGTGCAGAGCATGTAGCATGGTGGGGAGGGGATTGTCAGGATTGGTCCTATGGGCACTATTACAATAAATTATAAATCAGAATAACAGAAGAAGAGGATGGGAAAGGGACATTCCAAATGATCATGGAAGGGAATGGAGTGTAAAAATATGGCTTTCAAAGCAGAACCAGGAAGGAAGAGAATAACCTTCAAGGAGAATGAAGAACAGCAGACTGAAAGGATCCATCTACACTGCAATAAAAACCCATGGCATTGAGACTCAGAGCCTGGGTCAGTTTACTAGGGCTTGGGCTGTCGGACTAAAAATAGCAGTGTAAACATTTGGGCTCAGTCTGGAGCCTGGGCTCTGAGACTCTCCTGCCTCGTGGGGCCTCAGATCCCAGGATCCAGCCCAATCCTGAACAGCTACACTGCAATTTTAAGCGCCATAGCCGAGCCTTGGAAGCACGAGTCAGCTGCGCCGCAGGTCTTTTGCAGGGCAGGCAGACAGGCGAAGATCATAGCGGAAGAGATATGGAAATCCAAAGGAATGAACAAAAGGAGAATCCTGGAAAAACTGGAGAGGTACTTAAACCCCAAAGAATCCAAAACCAAAGGAAAACTAAAACATGAACCCAAATTAGATGTATAATATATAATAGATGTATAATACACCTCTACCCCGATATAACGCTGTCCTCGGGAGCCAAAAAATCGTACCGCGTTACAGGTGAAACCGCGTTATATCGACCTTGCTTTGATACACTGGAGTGCACAGCCCTGCCCCCCCTTTCCCCCCAGAGTGCTGCTTTACCGCGTTATATCCGAATTCGTGTTCTATCGGGCCGCGTTATATCGGGGTAGAGGTGTATATATAATGAAGAGAAAAGAAAGAAGAAAAATGACGATGTGTAGAGAGATGGAGGGAGAATAAGAATGAGAAATGAAGGGAACTTACCTTCTTTGTAAAATGCTATATAAGAGCTGGGTATTACTATTATTGATTATTGATTATGGATTGTCCTTTCCTTACAGGAATAAGCTGTGCCATTGTCCGCTCCTTTATACCAGTACAATAACATCCATATTAGGGATGTCGTACTGCTTTAGCTGTGCTGGTTTAGTTATCCTGCATGCAGACAAGCCTTGCTCTCCCTTATTCCCCTGTGTGGCTGCACAGGATGCTTCCACAGTCTAGCCCTAAATAAGTCGACACATGTGCACATGTACCTTGTTTAATGCAAGGAGGAGGCCATAACACACGGGGTTAGCCAAGTAATGTTTTCCTCTGGGACTGGGTTCAAATGCTGTCTTGCTGTAAGGACATCACCAAAGATAAACATAGCACAGTTAACATTTGTGTGCGTGGCTGACAGCCTCTTTTATAAAAGAAGCTCAGACAGCAATTGGAGCAGTGTTTGGGATCAGCCTCGTACATTGGTAGAGGAATGTATTTAGGGAAGGGTGCACAGTGTCCAACTGCACTATGTCTGGTTCAGGCCAACGCTTTTACATTCTCATTTTTAAGAGCATCAAATTCACGCATGCATTTTTAAACGAAACAGTTGTTTAATGAACTTTTAGGAAGAAACCCAGCGACAAGGCCATGCTGTGAGGTCTTTACTCCCTAGACGTATGACCTGTTTAGAACACGGATCACTGAGTTATTTAGACAACTTAGCCGACATTAATTTTGTATGCTCCCTCATGGTTGGAGGTGTGTGGGGATGGGAAGGGGCTAGGGATGGTGGTTTTGTTGGCATACTGCTGGGATTATCTGCTGGAGTGTAATGGGAGAAAAGGAGGTGGTGGTGGGGAGAAAGGACAGCCTTCTCCGGAACAAGCACTGGACATGCCGTTAAAAGCAATGCTGCACAGGCTCACACAGGTGCAGCCTGATTGAAGTCCGTGGTGATTGCAGCGTGTAAGCGAGGTCAGAGTTGGCTCCTCAATCTTAAAAAAAATCTTCAGGAAATGTGGGTGTGCATATTAAAACTGCCCCACTAGGCAGCTCTGACATGTGGGGCTGCCTGGCACAAGCACAACACATAATAACACAAAGTCTTTGGCAGAGTTACAGGACTAATCTTTATGTAACTGTTCCCGAGCAACTCCTCTAATGTACTAAGTACAAACAAGCTTTCCATCAACATTAGGCTGCAGGCAGATCATCCTGTGTCACCTGTTCATACCGAACAACTACTGACTCTCTCTGTGGCAAGGAAAACCCCACTCTGCCTGTATAGCCGATTCTCCCCAAATTATCTCTCTGATCATCTCAGGATAGTCATGAAACATAGGCTTGTGATTGATTTTAATGCCATTTTTGTGGATTCCTTTTTTTGAGACATGGACACCAGGTAGGGATTTGTATTGTGGATTATTTTCGGGGGGCGGCGGGGATGAGGGGATGTTAAAGGCAATTTTTCACCTCTTGCTTCCATAGGTAGCTTCTTAATCCAGCTGAGCAAAATGCATGGAGGAGAGATGGTCTTGTGGTTAAGGCACTGGCCTGGCACTCCAGAGATCTGGAGTCAGTTCACAGCTCTGCCACAAACTTCTTGTGGAATGTTAGGCTAATCACTTAATTTTTCCATACCTCAGTTTTCCCTCTGTAAAATGTGGCTAATACCCATCTTTTATCTGTCTTATCTGATTGAATGTTAGCTCATTGGGGGCATGGACCTTCCCTTCACATATGTTTGTACAGCGCCTAGCACAATGAGTCTTGATCTCAGTTTGGGGGTACCGTAAAATAGATAGTAGTAATAATGCATGCAATGATCATAACAGAAGGAAGTTAAGAAAATAAAAGCTGATGCTTCCCAAATGCTCAAGGTAAGAGTGTAAATCTGACCTAGGGTGACCAGCTGTCCCGATTTTATAGGGACAGTCCCGATTTTGGGGTCTTTTTCTTATATAGGCTCCTATTACCCCCCAGCCCCGTCCCGATTTTTCACACTTGCTGTCTGGTCACCCTAATCTGACCAGACTGTACAAAGGGGTTTCCTGCCCTTTATCCCAAATGTACAATCAGGTGTTGGCTACTTCTTTAAGTGACTTATCCCTTTATACAGTCAGAGAATATTTCTGTATTTGTAACCTAAATTCAGGTTCACAACTCATCAAGCTTCATCCATAGACTAGTATAAAGTTCCCTGATTTGAGTGCTCTTTTTTCTCAGTATCATGAAGCCAAAACACATGTGCTGCTGCACTGAAGAACCACGTGGCAAATATATAAAAGCATGTAAGTTTCTGAAAGCTGGAATAGGGCCATAATTTTGTTGGCAATGGAGCTGATTCTTCTTTTTTCCCTTTGAGCAGGGCCTGCAGCATTCCACAGACACAGAAACCTTCATGGAATTTTACCAGCATCAGGATTGATTGCCAGCTTGAGGATTCTCTATTGGCAGCAGGTCCAAGAGGGACACCGCTTCTTTCTCTAGATCCAGTGAAAGTGTACTACAGGCTGGCTCTGGAGGCAGCCCGACTGCTGCAGAATCCTCAAATCCCTCTCTCAGAAATGGACTTGGTAGAATCATGGAGCGATCCGTGTTCTGTATTTAATCTTAGATCATGAGAAAAAGTTAAATACTGAAATGGGAGGCTCAGATAAAAGTATTAGCAACACCAAGTAGCTCAAAAATCATGAGTTACCCCCCATCCCCCAAAATATCATGAGATTGGTTTAAAATATGAGATTTTTAAATTATATAATTTGGGGGTCCTTTTTATTTGCTGCCTTGGATTTTGAATCCCTGGGCACGCTTGGCTCACATTTTCTAGCTTTTCTCTTCCAGCATGGGGGCTAGAAACTTATTTTTATTTTAAATGAAAGCTGAGATTCTTTCCTAATCACATGCCTCCAGGAGCAGGCGCTTTAAGAAGAACATCAACTATTGCAAGACTCACAATAAAATCACAAGCGTTGGCAACACCAGAAATGGCTTCGCTTCAGCAAGAGAGAAAATCCATAGGTAAAATTGTTAATTAGTCCTGGACAAATGAGGGCATTAAGGAAGCAGATACTTAGATGTAATCAGGAATGAGTAGGTGAGATGCTTGTACATGTACAGAAATGTAAGAGAAGCTCACATAATCAGGGACGAGACGATAAGGTATAGCCTACCTCACCCTGTGTCACCCATAGGGGGTGGAATACAGTTTTATTGATATGAGACTTGTTGACAGGCCCATGGAGCATAAATGCACCATCACATCACTCTGCTGCTGTACTTATTAGTGTTTGAACCATTGAAAAGGTCAGCAGACTGGCTGAGAGAACAGAGGTGGTGGTGTGATTAGTTTTTTTTTTAATCCACTTGGTGTGGACATTTTTTCCTTCTCTCTCCGCTGTCCCTCTTACTCCTTTTTTAGTTTTAATTATCAACTTTTTTCCCCGAAGAGTCTTTTTTGGGGAGGAGGGGGGTTGTTGCATTTTTAAATCATTCATATGTTCAACTGCAGTAGGAGAATGCTATTTGATTCACTTCCAAAATGAAGGGCTTTTTAAAAAAAAAAGTTGAAGTGCTCCAATAATTTTAAATTGTTCTGCATAGTGCATGCCCAGAACTCTGATCCTTTCCAAATGCAATGCTTCACTTTTTTTTTTTTTTAAGAGCACTTCATTTTGGAAGTGAATTAGGGTGTTCTGGGCACGTGCACTGTAGACCAATTTAGGTTTCCTAGATTGCTTCAATAATTTGAAGAGTACTCCAGTCACTTTTAACTATTCTCCACTACCCGTGCCTGCAACTCCAGTCATTTCTGAACTGAAGCAATTTTATACTTAGGACAAATTCTGCTGTTCAACTGAAATTGTTCCATACTGCATATTAACATACCTCTAATTCAGTTTATTTTATGTTTGATGCAATATTTCACTGTAAAAATATGTAATACACAATGCCATAACATTAAAGTGCCACCTTGATTACCCAGCATTCCCTGTTATCTGAAATGGGGTTGTGTCCCTGGTGTCAATTCATTACATAGAAAATTCCCTTGATTATCTAAAACCTAGATCATTGACATTTATTCAGTGTTCCTCACCACATTCACGCATTAAGATCATATTTGTATAGTGATTTTTATCCAGGGATCTCACAACACTTTGAAAACTTTTAGGAATTAAAACTTACAACAAACCTTTGTGATAGGCATGTTATTGTCCCTGTTTTACATATAGTGAAGTGACTCGCCAAAGGTCAAACAGTGATTCAGTGGCAGATCCAGAACAGAATAACACACAGCAGTCTTCACTCCCAATCCCCTGCGCTAATTGCTACCCCAGATTGGGTGTTGAAATGACTAAGTGAAAGGGTGACAACATTCTACAGGGATTAGTATTTTGGGAGCGAGTTTGTGTGGCTGAGGTGGTAAGGTTGTAGTGATGGCAACATCTCTTATTCACACACAGGAAGTCAGTCCAGTCCAGTGCTCCCAGAAACACCATTTGCAAAGATGATAAAGTCAAAAGGAAGGGCAGCCTCTGGTGGGTGCCCGCCCGCAATACCGTATGAGGTGTTTGTGGAATACCTGAAGAAGATAGCATGGTGCCGCTAATGCTCATTGCTATTGGCAGGGCAGTGCTTATGCTGTATTTCAAAGAGTGAGAAAAGGCTACCCCAAAGAGAAGAGAGATGAGCTCTGCCAGTAGAATATCATGCCCTTTTCCCAACCCCCAGCGTCTCTCTCTCTCTTTTTTTCATAGAATCATAGAATATCAGAGTTGGAAGGGACCTCAAGAGGTCATCTAGTCCAACCCCCTGCTCAAAGCAGGACCAATTCCCAGCTAAATCATCCCAGCCAGGGATTTGTCAAGCCGGGCCTTAAAAAACCTCCAAGGAAGGAGACTCCACCACCTCCCTAGGTAACGCATTCCAGTGTTTCACCACCCTCCTAGTGAAATAGTTTTTCCTGATATCCAACCTGGACCTCCCCCAGCAACTTGAGATCATTGCTCCTTGTTCTGTCGTCTGCCACCACTGAGAACAGCCGAGCTCCATCCTCTTTGGAACCCCCCTTCAGGTAGTTGAAGGCTGCTATCAAATCCCCCCTCATTCTTCTCTTCTGGAGACTAAACAATCCCAGTTCCCTCAGCCTCTCCTCATAAGTCATGTGCTCCAGACCCCTAATCATTTTTGTTGCCCTCCGCTGGACTCTTCCATTTTCCCCCATTTTACTTTTAATCGGGGTGTAGTCTGAAATGGGCTGCTACCGGAATGCTCCCACCAGCATGGGAACGCCCCAGTCAGCATAACCAGATACACATACACACCGTGTGAGTGACACCACTTTGCCCTACCAAGTGGCATCCTCCATGTAGCGTGCATGCGTGCGAGCAGGGCCGGCTCCAGGGTTTTGGCCGCCCCAAGCAGCCAAAAAAAAAAAAAAGACCGCAATCACGATCGCGATCCGCAGCGGCAATTCAGCGGGAGGTCCTTCGCTCCGAGCCGGAATGAGGGACCGTCCGCCGAATTGCCGCCGAATAGCTGGACGTGCCGCCCCTCTCCGGAGTGGCCACCCCAAGCACCTGCTTGACAAGCTGGTGCTTGGAGCTGGCCCTGCGTGCGAGGTCATGCTGTGCAGAGGATGCCATTTTGTTCTCAACAAAATGGCATCCTCCATGTGGCAAAAGTGCCAGTATGTCGTTCTGGCATGATCTGGCCCCACTACAGCACAGCTCTTAATTCAAATTTCCATAAAAGAATTTCTGTTCCAAGGAGGCTCTTTGCTGCCTTAGCTAATTAAAGCTTAACAGTAGGGCAGCATTTTGCTTTGCTTTGCAGTCCGCCTAATGTCTTATTCAATCACGATACAGTATTAACAATATCAGAAGGTGGCACTGTTTCCATTGTTCCATATTTAGTATAACTTTTTTGTATATGATGGTCCGTCTCCCACAATAAGAATGAACAAGGAATGAAGTACATGTCCATGCACTGGATTAGACTGAGTACAGGAATTTTGTGCAGCTTCCATAGAACACAGCTATTGTAAGGCTGCCTTCTCTGACCAAAGGAGGATTAAGCCAGCTCGGGGATATTTGGGTGCTGTAGAGCCACCATAGCAGATTGTAAACCAAATCCCTCCCTGTAGCCAGCAGAGGAGACATGTTTAGGGCATTCCTGTGCCTCAGCAATTCCTAGCTGCCCTGGCAGACCTTTAAGTCCAAAGGCTGGAGTTACAAGTTAAAGCAGCCTTTGGGCTTCTCTATCATGCACCTGGGGACCAAACCAGAACAGAGTGACCTCAGGTTCAGGCAATCTCAAAAATAGCTTATAGCCCCCCTTTGCACTGCCTGCTTTTCAGCTGCTTGTGTACTTCTTAACTGATGCTGAAAATCTGGCCTAGAAAAATATTTACTGAAAATATTGATAATTGATGACAAAGTGGAGGAGATTATTATTTGTATTTTATTATTTGATTGTAGTGCCACTATATGATTTACATACCCAGACACAGTAAACTCATGTGCCATCTCAGGAAACTTGCAGGTATTGGGTGGCTTCCTCTGTACCAAACATACTCTGTTCTCTTGTATTACAGAGATTCTTTCTAAATTTAGTCTCTGAGAAGAATGATAATCTTCAGGGACAAGATACACCTTTAGTCATGTACTGCAAAGGAGTGGTGATGGAGATTCAGTGAATAGTGCTCTTCTCTCTGAGTCAATACGCTGGCATGTTAGCGGTTCTAAGTCATTGGCAGGTGGCATCTTTTGAACAAGATGTAGATTTGAGGTCTTGACCACTTGTGGATATTAAAGAGCCCATGATCCAATACTTTTCAAAGGAGGAGAAGTGTTATCTGGATGTCCAAACTAGGCGAGTACATTCTCCCTACTTACCTGGAATTTCAGTTGTGAAAGGCATTTTTCTTCAGATCTAACGAATGAATGGGTTTGGATTAAATACTTGCTATATTCTACCTCAGACGTGGTTGAATTTCATTAGTAACTAAAGAAATTCATAGCTATATTATTTGTAAAGCACTTTGTGATCCTTTGGGAAGAAAAGCACCGTATATAAATTAAAGATATAATATTAATGGGTTGTTACAATACTCTGGGCTGAACATGATGAGATGTAAAATAAGACACATGGGAATTATTTCCCCATAGTTTTATTCATTTTCAAGAAGAAACAAGGAGAGTTTTTCTTCCTCCCTCAAATAATGATTTTAAACCTAAATGGTATATAAGAGCGTTCTTAGTGGAATTTTTTCATAGCAACATTAAGATAATGCTATACTCAAGATTTATTTATTGTTCACTTGCCCTTTAAAACATATCTACAGTTTCAGAGAAACAGAAGCCAAACTTATTGCAGGATATCTTATGCTTAAATGTATAGAGCCTGATTTTTCTCTTTACTCATACTGCTTTTATGATCATGTAACTCCATTGATTTCAGTGGAGTTATATCTGATTTACCTCAATGCAAGTGAAATCTCTGTCAGGCATAGTTTCCTCCAGGATTTCATGTGTAAAAGTAGTACTTGCTCATATAGTCATGTATTATCATTCATCCTTGTACCTGTCCAGTTAGCCATAGATCCATCCAAGCATAAGATATAGTGTAGGAGGAATTCCATTCTGCAAGATTAAATCTTCAGTTAAATGAACCTAAAGTGGCTTAGGGCGGGTCTGTCAGGCTATCCTGTCGGGAGCATGTTTTTTTAAATTTTTTATTTAAAGACGTGCAAACCTATTTTCATAAGACTATATCTACAAACTAATAAGAAATCCATTTATTCTGGTTTGCTCACATTTCTTAGTAACAGATCTTGTTTGTAAACTATTGGTGGTGCTCAAATCTGACCTGGTAAGATTGAAAGGGAATTATGTAAAGTAGGAGTAGGCCGGTCAATTCAGTAGAGTTACAATTTTGTAAAACTGGTGTATGAGAGATCAGAATAAGTCCTTTTTTCATAGGCCCATCAGAGCCCAGTATAGATAACCAACAATGTGCAAAATTAGAGATGTAAAGCTGCAGAATATTAACCTGAACCAAAGGGGCAACTCCTATAGCCTTAGAAGATTCTTCTTTTATTGTTTTATTTAAAAAAATTTCTGAATTTCTGATATATTTTCCCATAATTTAGTTGCAGAGTAAGAGAATCTGCTGCGAAAATGATGCTGGAATCTGTGTAGCATTTGTGATGTTTTCCATTGGAAAGGGGATTTAATAATATATTTTCAATGGTGGACCCAATATACAGGTCTTTATAGTAGCTGATCTGTGAGAAATCCTGATGACCACATGGAAAATCTCATCTCACTTTTCATCACTTGTCTTTTGTTGGTTTGTTTGTTTTTGATAGTCTGAGGGTTTTCCTGGCTTTCAAGAAACATAAGAGGATGCACACTCAGGATATTCATTTTAGACCATTTTTATTCACAGTATGTTGATAATTCCTCTTTATCTTGAACAACAGTGGCTACAACAGCCAAAGAAGCACTAGGCACTACTGCATGTAGCCTTGCTGCATGGCACCAATTGAAACACAGCTCTGTCTTCAAATTCTAAAGCCCCAGACTGACTCTCTGGCCTTGACTACACTAGAAAGGGTTTGCTGGCAAAACTGTTAAGTACAGTCTGGGTGCAGATGCCTTAGGCTTGTCTAATCACAGAAGTTGCACTGATTTAGTTAAACTGTGTGTGGACACTAATGCAGGTTTAAACCTGGTTTACCTGGGTCTAAACCATTATGCGTGTCTCTACACACAGTTGCACTATCACGTCACACCTTTAGTTAAAGCAACGCATTTGGAGTTCTCCTGCCAGATAAGTATCCATTCCCTCCCACCACACACAAAGAGGATTGTTGCCTT